CCAATATCCCTTTTAAGGGACCCCCCCTGTCAGGTGCCAGGGAGGCAATTTGTATGCATAAACTGCGCTCCTGAAGGCTCGGGACAGCACACAGGCGGAGACCAGCGGGAGATCGCAGATGCGGCACCGGCTGGGCCTTGGAGGGTTGAACGGATTCAATGGATTGAACCTCCTGTTGTGGGTTTGAAGGGGCAACGGATTGAATCCTCCTCTTGGGTTTAAACGGATTTCTTCACTGTGTGTGATCTCTTGCATGAGTTCCAGCAGCATATTGATGTTGCTCCAAAGTGCGCTGGCGGGACCGTCTTTCTGCTGTCCAGGCCCGCGTTTTGGCTCATCGTTTGAGCACTTCCTATGTCTGGAGCTCTTGCTGGAATATGATCTGGCAAAGATGACCCAGGGTGTCCGGCATGGCCGGCGTACAACGAGTTGCAGCCCATCTCCGCCCTCAACGCCGCTCGTTTGATATTGGGTGACAACATGAAGAGTCGTCAGGCAACTCCCGGCCGATGGCGCAAAACGCCCCGAACATGCCCGAGCAGTCACCAAACATAATTATCAAACATGGATATCCACCGCGATAAAATGAACGCCTCCTGCGGCATTCATTCCCTCTTGCTTCTGCACCTCCAAGTGGTTAACTTGAAGTGGCTAGCCACTACCCCTAGAAACACAGGCCCCACCCCCTTCTGTCTTATCTGCGCTTTCCCGTGCCATTCTTTTTTGCAGCGGGACAAGGTGGGACCGGGGGTACCTTTTCCAGGCCGAGTCATCAGCTTTTGCCAAGAGCTAGCACAACTCTTTTGCAATGAACACCAGGAACCCAAAAGCACTGCTTTAACTTGATGAGATCTCCTGGGGGTACCACACCTACCAAGGCGCGGACCCTTTTTGGTTGTTTCATGTTGTATTTGTGGGAGTAAATCGCAAAGATCCCTCATTCCCCCTCCCCCCAAAACAAAGGTTGGACACTTGGGAACTGCTTCGCAACCTGACCATTTTCGCGCTTTGGTTTGGCTTCCTGGCTGAAACTCCAAGCGCACTTGCCCGTTCCCAACCCGGGCCCCCAGACAGGCTGCAACTCTGCGCCGCACACTGCGGGCCTCAGTCACAAAGGCTCCCCGAGGGCCCGGGTGTTTGACCAGACACTACTTGTGACTGCGGTCCTGGAAAGAAGGGATGCCCGAAACAATTAGAATGGTGTGGAGTAGTCAACCAGAGTTGCCCGGCACCAGTGTCTTTGTCTTCGTCTGCTCGTGTTCTTTCATGATGTTTGTAGCTTTCCAACAGCTGACTATGGCTTGCATCAACGTGAGAAGCAATCCATGATCCCCTTGAAGTGGAGCCCATGTAAACCACTTGCCCATGGCATGTGGAGCACAAGCGCGATGGCGTTGTGTGCCCGTCTGGCTACAGAGGTCGGAAACGCGGCCTCTGAAGTGGAAGAATGCAACTTGTCGGAGGGGCAAAACCGAGATCATTCTACTCAGTCCCACAACTTTGAGCTAGCTCTGCAAGCTTCGTGGCTATGTGGTGTGCGTCCTTCACAGGATAAGACGATGCGCAAGTGAACCTTCTTAAAACAAAAAAGCAACATCTTCACCACTTTGGTATGAATCATCCAGCTCCAATTCACGCCACCTGTGCTGTGAGTGCTACAAAGAAACACCTTTGGGAACCTGAGGCAACTTGGACCAAACTCGGCGCAACATGAGGCTGTAGACTCACCATGGGGCACTTCCACATGGCTAGATGCATGTTGGTATCTGTTCAAAACCAAGGAGACCCCTGGTTTCGGAACGTGTAACCACGGATTCCAACAAAGACCCTCAGGGCTCCAGCCTCCTGTCGAATGCTAATTCTATACTTCCATGTGCATTTGTATGTAGGTATCTCTCTCTCTCTCTCTCTCTCTCTTGCTCTCTCTTTCTCTCTCGCTCGCTCTATCGATTTCTCTCTCTTTGTCTGTCCGTCTGTCTGCCTGCCTGCCTGCCTGTCTGCCTGTCTGTCTGTCTGTCTGTCTGTCCCATGTTCGGTCCCTGTGAAACCTGCAAATCATCAACTGCCAATCATCAACTACTGAACTTAAGCTATAAACCAAACACAAACCGGACATAAGAAGGACCCGCTATGGACCTCCACCATGTCTCGTTTTGCCCCAGGTGAGCTCGAAAAGCGCCACGCGACTGGCGTGCGGCATTTTAGGCCCGCGCAGGTGTACAGGCAGCTCTGTGCATGAAGATGGCAAGCACCTGGGCAGAGACGGCCGTTTGGGGGTCAGGAAGGTTGATCAACCCGATTTCTTGCTGGTTCTAAGCAGGGAATGTGGGAATGACCCCTATTAACTGCCTTCATTTAAGGGGATCCCTAGCAGTTAGCAGGACATGCAGACATGCGGTCTGAAGCTACCTGATTTTATGCTTCCTAGTTTAAACCTCAAAGAGGGCAAAGGCCTGGTTGATGATGCACACTTTGTCTCATGCTGAAAACCCAAGCAATTGCCAGGATAGAGTACGGAATTGGCCAACCATCATTTGCTTTCACGATTTGGAACGCCCAAATGGGTTGTTTCCAATGGTTTCCTCCAAATCTTGCTGGTTCTGAGCAGGGAATGAACAGGGAGCTTGGGGTGGATGCGGCCGGCGTCAAGAAGAATAATTTAAATCCCCCCCTTTTTGTTCAAACAAACACATACAGTTTTACAAACAGAAGTTCTCCCTACAGTTTTGGCGAAGAAGAAGTCCTGCCTGGAAGTGGCAGTGGCATGGCTACGGGTTGTGACTCAAGCCACACGCGGGCTCAGCGCCCCGGCAAGCTAACGGCTTGTTCTTCGCCTCGCCGTGGGCACGTGCAGGGAGGGCTTGAGTCTTGGAGTTGTCAAGTTGTTAGTTCCCGACGGTCAGAAGAAATTCTGCACCGCCTCAGGGTGTGACCTATAGAAAGGTGGGAAGCGAGCTACATGCCCGCCGCTCGTGAAAAAGGTTGAACAGCGACAAGCGAGGGTGGTCACAGCGGTCAAAGACGGCGAAAGACGGCGCGAGCCGTTCAACTCCAGAATCCAAGCCGTGTCCCAGGAATCAGCTGTTCGCGTGGCCCCGGATCACTCGGCAAAAACCAGGCCCCCCCCCTGCCAAGAAGCCTGCGCATCGGGCTGCAGCTGCGGAAATCCCATGCCTCAGGCGAATCCACACTCGGTTCAACGTGTAGGAAGCCAGCGTTGACAGCGCCCTTGTCGTTGGGAGAGCATCACCCGTGAATCTGCCACATTATTTCATCTGGGGTCGACAATACCAGCCATTGGAGTCTGGGGTAACCTTTTGAAATCAGCGCAAGGAGTCGGCTGAATTCCTCCAAAATGGGTGATTTAAAGAAAGCGAGCTGCTTGCGGAGCGAAGCAACAAAATCCAAGAAAGCCGAATCAGTCTTCCTTCAGCCTGTCAACGCGCGAAAGCTGCTGGACCTGGCCGCAAGAAACAAACCAGCTCAATTGATCCATGTCCGGTGTATAGCTGATGTTCCCTGAGTCGCCAAGTACAAGCCCTGCCATCAGTAAGCTGCACGGTCTCAAAAGGCGAGGGAACCTGCCAAGGGAAGGTGGCTTCCCTTTGGTGTGTCTGTAAACCTGCCCCCAAAAGAATACTGTACCCTGAACAAAACATGCTGGTGCGCCAAAGCCCAAACGATGCCAGGGGAGCGAAAGTGCACCCCGAAGAGCCATGGCCTGGTCCCTGTGTAACAAAGAAGCCGAAACAAGTTGTTTGAAGTGTGACGTCAGCCCCCCAAAAAGGATAAGGAGTTGCCGCGGGAAAAGTATGCCTTGTCAAAGTATACCCAAGAAACAGTTGGTAGTTAGTGTCCAGGGTGTGCATTTGCTCGCACCCAGCCCAGCCTGCTCTAAAGAAACGACATCATCAAACAGCTGTCCTCTGTTCATGGCTCAATTTGATGTTCAAGTTCCTACAAACCCGGGGGAATTGGGCTCTGTAGCTCCCATGTCAATAGGAATATATATATATATATATATTCTAGATTAATGCGTTGCCCCTGGCTCCTCTGAGCCAAGGATCCACGACCAGCATCCAGCATCAGGCGAATGCTCCAAACTTTGCCCAGGGGCGCACCAGGCTCGGCGCCACCGCTCCGGAGCCCACGCTGGGCGCCGTCAAGTGCTTCAACAGCAGGTCCTCCGCTGACTGCAAACCGAGTGACCCGGTCAGCCTTTCTTGTCTTGGCTTCTTGGACATCAAGATGTTGGGTTAGTTCCACAGATATTCCAGGTTGGATGGGGAATATATGGCCATGGGTCAAAATCCCGTACCCCCAGTGAACATCCCAATCCCCACTAAAATGGACTAAAACGGGTGGCGCACCTTCCCCAAAATGGAACCATTGGTTTTGACCCAAAGCCATATGAGAAAAGATGAATTTAGTGTGACATTCCAGACAGCGAACTGTCCCAGGGATGGCAAGCCACTGATTGCAAAGTCGAATGTTTGATGGTTCTATATAATGTGCTTCGGCGGGGAATGGGGAGAAACAAGGGCGTTCGTAGGGATAAATGGCCCTCAAAGGGTCTCCACACTTTTGGGATTTGTGTATGATGAACCAAGAAGTGAGTCGATCGTAAACCCTGCCAAGCTTTCTGCCAATGCAACACCAGCTGCACCCTGTTGAGGGGCATGGGCATTTCAACCTACCAATATAACATGTCACTAACTTGTAGGGATCTGGGTTTACACATATATATAGATATACATATATATATGCATGTCTGCTGTACAGTAGTTGGAAGCCTTTCTATGTGGCGGGATTTCAGCAGCAAACCAGCTGGCAGGATGGCCCAATAAGAAAAAACACAGCTGTGTGGGCCCAACTTCTTAAAGTTCAGGAAACAGTGGACAGCTGCAAGCCCCGGAACGTTGGCGATGATTGACACTGCAAAGCACTGCAAGCTCTTTGCATGACACGGCATGGTTTTCTGCGTCCTCTCTTTGGATGCTGTGGCGGAGAGAGACAGGCAACGCGAAAACCTTGATTGACACTCGACTGGGCATTCAACCAGGCAATTCTTGCGGTGTGGCACCGAAAAGACTTTGTTTAAGCTTGCTTCGAGAAGACCCGAGCGTTCGTTGAAGGGGCGGTATTCGCCTCGGCCCCCAGGGCCGGGAAGCGGTCAGACCCCTTCATTCAGAAAAAAAACCATCCCCAACCCCCATGTCGCGCGGCCAAAATCCCGAAGCAGCTGTTCGCTTCTAGAAACCTGTCAAATCCCTCTGAAAACAGGTCCAACTCCCGTCAAATCCCCCTAGAAACCGTCAAAATCCAAAAAAAGCCGTCCAATACCCTAGAAATTTGGACCTGCGCTTGGCCCACCATTCTGTAGCTCTCTGCGGCTCTCGGTCTGGCCCTTTGAAGCCAGGTGGAATCGTGCGGACATGCGCCCACCCGCTAGCTTGCAAACCAGCTCACGCATTTCGGCGCCGACTCACTCACTTTACTGACATCACTTCAAGGCAAACAGAAGCACAGTATATACCTCAAAGCCAGCCAAAAGCGGACTGGCCGAGGTGGGCAACGCGAAGCGTTTACAATTAGGGTGTCTCAAAAGGGTTCCCGAAGATGACACACACTAAGTCACTACGACCCCAACAACTTTTGACTTCCCTCAAGAGGACAAAAACAAAATCGGGGCGGTATTTGACGAACCCCAAAGGAAAAACTGACACCGACCATGGCATCTATGAGGATTCTATGCCCCCCTTTTTTCACGGGAGTAGGGTGAGTGCGATTTGGGTTTGACAGCTCAGCTATGGGTGGCCACACCAAAACCATTTTGACCAACCCCAAAAAGAAAAACCTGAAACTTGAATCTCTGGGTGGCCCCCACAAAAAAACAAAAAAAAAACAGACACCCCAAAACCCTCTCGCTTTCTCGCTTTTTGGGTCGGCGAATCCGGGCCTCGAAGTGCTGCACATCCAGCGCCACCTCGAAGCGGCCGCCGGTGTCCTCCTGAGCGAATCGAGCTCTGGGGGCTGAGGGTTCATAGACCAAGGGGTGGCTTCCATATCCCTGGGCTTCAAACTTCAAACCACCATGAAAACAAAGGGGTTGTTGGTACAACCTAGTAATAACCACCCTTATTCCCTCAAGAGTTCCAGGATCCGAATTGGGTCAATCAGTCTTTTGATGGGGGTTGAACCCTGAAGGGATGTTTGCCTCCTCCGACTTCGCTTTGATGCTTTCTATAGTTTTGCCCAGTGGACAAATCGATCACCATCCGAGTCACCAGTAAAATCCAAGCCAGGGTTGTGCCGCTGTGAGAAACTGGACATCCTTCCATATTGTTGTCACCAAGAAGGTGGAAAGAACTCAATCACACAGCCCTGCCCCCAACAGTTGTTTAACAGTTTGACCAAAATGTCACGTCATGAGATAAGAATGTGAATGTATCTGTGTGTGTGTGTGTGTGCCTCTCGGAGTGTCAGGCCGAGAAATCGCTCGCCCTCTGCGCGAGCATCTTGAAAATCAGCTCTCAAAGGGATGGCCGGGAGAGAACGTTGCAAAGCGGAAATAAGGGTTCCACCTTCATGCACTGGTGAGCTCTTTTACCCTCCAACCGGTGATCTCATTACAATTTTACATTTTGCCCAGAGGAATATCAAGGGAAGCCTTTTTGGCTGCTTGGAGAAACATCCAAACGAGAAAACGGCCGGCTGAGCTATGGGCACAAAGGCGCCGGAGCACGAAGATCTCGGGGCTCAGCGACACTACTGACACCTGGGCGGCGCCCGAGGGGCCCTCGAGGCTTGGGTTGACGAACTTCCGTCCAAGCCAAAGTTGGTTCCCCCATTGAGTCCTCGATCTTCGGGGCAATCAGACTTCCAAGCGCTGAATTGAGCCGTCGGCAAGTTGGCATTGCACTGCGTGGATAGCCACCTGAATTACCACCCCACTTGAGAAGCGGTTAATAACCCTCTTTAGTAAGTTCCCTGGCATTCAAGAAGTCTACCAAAGCCCATGGAACAGAATCGAAAGAGCTTCTTGCCCCCACTACTAACCTTCATTTCCCGAGGCGTTGATTATGACTCAATTGGTGTCAGATGGTCAGCTTGTCAAACACGTCCATGATTTGATCAACCCCCTGGCGGATGCGCGGATGCGACGGCTGGGAGTTTCGGCAGGCCTTCCCCGTTAGTCTCAACCAGGTTCAAGCTCCAGCCTACGAGACCCAGCAAACCAAAGGTTAGACGAATGGGAACCAGGATCGAAGACAGTTGGGTCCAAGAGCAAGTGGATGTTGGCATCCTTCGAAATTCCAGCAACACTGGCTGCTAGTTTCGGGACCGACCCTGCCTTTCGCCATGTGCCACTTTCCAAAGCTGGTAGCTAAACTTCCAAACCGCGCCCCATTTGAGCCATGTCCTAAACGTGTCATGATTTGCTATATCGCCACCAGCTTACGCCACCTTACGCGCGTGGAGTCTTCCCCTTCCGCGCTGGTCGACGCGACACGACTCTTACGAAACATGTACACGGAGGTTTTGGGCGCTGCTCCTTTGTCCATCGACCCCCCCCCCCCTCCCCCCCCGAAACACCCCGATCTGCTTTGGTCCCATTTCGTCGGTGCTTGGGACCCGCGCCCGCAGGCCCTTGGCGCGCAAGGAGGGCGTCACCTCCTCGAGCAAAGCGCAAAGCGCGGCGGCGCACCTTATTTGGGGGACCCTGCCACATGGTTGGTTGTAGGGTTGGTGACCAAAAAACATCTCATCTGGGTGACTGATGCCCAAGAGAAAGCGTGTGTGAGTTTCTGGACTTCCCCCCCCACTAATCTGTGTGAATTATGAGGGTTCCGCATGGGAGGAAAAAACTGGGTAAGGCTGTGAGGTCGCAAACCCTCCCGGAGGGTGAGGTCGCTACAGTTTGCCCACACTTCTTTGCTGCCCCCCCACCCCCATCCCCCACCCCACTAAAATGAACAGAACCTAAAAAACAAGGAAAGCGCACCCAATCAGATGCAACCCAACACAAACCCCTTGGCCCAAATTGCACCAATAAGTTTTCCCCGCGTTTAAGAGAAACGTTTTAGTGGAGGATGGTACGACGGTCCAAAATCGACGGCATAAATCGGCAGTGGCTAAATCGACGACGTGGCCAAAACGACAGGCCGACAATATGCCGACACTGGTCGATATCCAACCTATGAAGGGGCAACAGCTGGCCGTGATTAACGAGGCAGTCACTCAAACAGCCAGAGGAGAGCGATGTGCCTCACCGATGTGCCCACCTAACCCAGCGCGCCCACAAGCGAGCGATTTGTTTCCCGGCCCCTTTCCGAAGGCAACTGTGTGTGATGAGGGCACACCTGCAACAAGTGTTGCAAAACTTCTTACTTACCTCCTTGTCTTGCTGTTGGAATCCCCTCAAGCGCGTCAAGCAAGAAACACCTTCGTTCGCAAAACAAGGCCTCCGTGTGCAAGGATCACTCATCCTGGATACAGTAAGGTCACGCACGTTCTTCTGTGAGGTTGATATCATTGCTCAGATGCGATCGATCGCAGTCCTCACCTAGGTGAGCCTCAGGGTTCTCTCCGAGCTTGAGTTGCACTCGGGAACAGCCTCCAAAGGCCCGTCCGATGCTTCCGCCGTTACACCTCGAGCTGCCGGAAGTCGGACTGTGACAAAACCACGCCTCATAACTCGGAGAGAGGCTCCAAAAGCAGCACGTTCGCGGGGCCCAAGGCATTCAACGCCATGTTTGAAGAAACCCTTCAGAGGCGCTTCTCCTCGCGGGTTTTGGTTTGGCACGATAAATTACGCACTCTGAAGTAACACATTCCCCTTCTTCCCACTAACATAGCATTTGTGGGAGGGTACTTGGAAGAAGAGTTTCCTCTTCCAGGGACCCCCTGTCAGGTGCCATGAAAAGGTGGGAGGGAAGATAGTCATTGGAGCAAAACCAAATCCGCCCCGGACGCTCACGGAGCAGGCTTGAGCAGGCAATCCCTCCCAGCAAATCTGGCTGAAGCAACAAGGCACGTTGGGATTCTGAAGAGGCCAACGCCTGCATAATTTACGAATGGGAGATATATGAGAAAACAATAAAATAAAATAAAACTCCAGTGGCTCTTTTGCTTCAGCTAGTGCCGCTTTGCAACGACCACACCCAACCAGGATTTCGGCTGTCCCCTGGACTATTCTCATCAAAAACCACATTTGGATTCTCGTAGGGCACACCAGCCATGGACTTGTTCCATTCGAACCAATCACAATAGCTGAAGTAAGGCACTCCGAAAAGAATGCAAAAGTGTCTCCATGACCCTTCACTCAGGTTGCTTGCGATGGCAACCATGTTTCACTTCTTCCCAAGAGCAAAGCTCCCCATGCACCGAAGCGCAGCACAGCGAGCGAGCCAACTCGGACGCCAGAGGTCCTCGAGCGTGAGGTCTTGCAAGTTGTTGGTGCCCACTGAGGCCAAGAGCACCTGGGACCGATCGCAGTGGGAGCTTTGCTTGGGCTTGTGCTGCCAATTGGCACCCCCAAAATGGGGCTTTAAGACAAGCCAAAAAGTATATCCCGGAAAACACAGGTGGGTCTGCCTCAGAAATCCAAGGGCCGAGAAATGTCAATGTGTTGAACCAAGTCACGTGTCTCCGGGTATTTCTCTGCCTTTGGACGAGCCGTTGGGCTGGTGCCAACCCTGATTGGAATGGGGATCATTCCGACTTGGGACACATGGCCGGAAACAGTACAAGCGGGCCAGGAAAAAAGGGAAGAAAGACACACCCCATTTTTGGCAGAGATTCCTCAAACTTGCGGACCCAAAGGATTAAATCAGTGTTCAGACAGAGAAGACAATGTTATTCGCCAGTCATGTTACAAAAGACTCGAGCAGGCTTTCTAGACTTGAGTGGATTGGCCAGCAAAGTCCAGACTTTCACCACATGATCTTCCCAAAAACTTCAAAGCCCAACACATATTTGTTGGCTACTCCAACCAAAAACAAGTGGTGTAAGTCTCCATATTTCTAGCGAACCTTGAAATGCAAAAATAAGCTCAGAGATCCGATAGACAAAGGAAAGAAGGGGGCCCGTGCCCCCAGTGAACATCCCAATCCCCACTAAAACAGACTAAAATGGGTGGTGCACCTACCATTGGTTTTGACCAACGTTCAATGTTTGTGACGGGGGGTCCCCCCCGTCCACCGTTTTGCCGGGGCGCCAGCACCTCCCGCAGGCCGTAGGTGGGTGCGTTGTCCAGGCCCTGCAAGGCCCGCTGCAAGGCGCTCACTGCGCAGCACACGCCCCGCGCGCCCTGCGCGGAAAGCCACGGGGAGGGACGTCCCAAATAGACCGAATAGGCCGAAGAGGACCAGGGCAAATAGAAAAATGTCCAAATTCCTTTACGCTGTTTGGCCGTTGCCGCTGCTCGAATGTCATGGGCAGTTGTACTGGGGTTGAATGTTCTGGGCAAAGGCCGCCAACCAGCTGTCACTCTTGCTATTGATCCGCCCTTGGAATCACAGCCGCCACGAGACCGAGACTGAGCCAGTGAGTGAGTCGGACAAATCCACATTTCCCTTGCAAAGGAGCCTGCTTCTAATACCAGCTCCCTGCATCACCCAACCCGCAGCGCGCGGCTAGCTCAAATTGCCGCGCATGTTTCTCAAATCCCGGGTGCTTTCACAAAGACAGCGTACCATCCAAAAGCGGAGGCGTGCATGGACACAGCTGACTAGTTGCATGGGTAAGTCGAGGACAAGTTGGCTGAAGCTGAAACACTGTTCTAGGTGTGTCAAAGCTCTGCCTGCTTTCTGCAGCACCATGGTCCAAGCCGAACTGCAAAGCAACTAAACTGCATCCCGCATAGCGCCAGCCTCTGCAGATTCGTTGCCTGGTGGGGGGGCCGCCCTTGCAAATCTCATATGTGTCCCCCTAGCCTTTTGGCCTGCGGCCCACATATCTTGTAGAAAAGCATGCATATATATATATATATTAGAAAGAGAGAGAGGCAGAGACGTACATGTTTCAAGTTTACATCCGCGTGTATGTTATATCTAATATCATATATATCATATAAAAATATAATATCATATGCATGTGTATATATATATATACATATATATATAGTAAAAAACAAAAAGAAGTTGTACAAATCTCATCCCAGCTCCCCCAGCCGCGGGCTTTCCCCGCCCGGCTCCTCCTTGGCGGCGCCGTCCAGGCACCGGCGCAGCTGCGCCGGGCTGCTGCCCAGCGGCGCCAAGGTCTGGCCGCCCGAAAACGGGCCCTTTGGTGGGACCCACTGAGCCCACGTAGCAAAAAAGTTCGAAGATGTGGCGGGAAATGTTTGGCTATGGGCATGGACCTTTCAAAGATGCCATGAATACGAAACCCCCTAGAAGGGAGACTCCGGTTACCCTTCTAGTAGGTAGCCAGCCATTATCCTTGTTTAGTGGTGCAGTTACTCTGACAGTAAATGAAACCAGCCATGATGCTTGTTTAGTGGGGCATTTCCTCTGACAGTAGGTCAAAATGCGATTCTCCTTTGAGTTGTTAAGTGTGGCAAGCGTTTGGATACCTATGCAGGTCAATGGATCCATGGGGATGGGTAAAAATGGTTTAAGTGAAGGCGGAAGGGGGAGTTTGACCGAGAAACAGCGCAAAATCCTCCCCACGGTTCGGGGGTTTATGAGCCGTGTCGGCCCAACAAGGCCTGAGCACTTCGGGTGGGAAGGGTCCAAGAGAGTCCTTCTGATATGTTTGTCAACTTCCTGTCTCAGGATGGAGACGTGGGAAGATCCATATAGGCATGAGTACAAGTTTCGAACACCCATCGGAGAGTTGGATGCATTTTCTTGCAGCTTTATCTGGACCCTTGATTGACCTTTGGCTCTTGGTCCAAATCCAAGACGCTTTCTTTTGAACTGCCTGGACACGGGGAGTTGATCAATATTCTGTTCGGCCCCCAAATGATCATGGGTAACTTGTCCCACTTAGTGGTTGAATCCAACATCTGCTTTTTGTGGTTTTCCAACCAATGGGCATCCCATGAGGACCTGTTGAACAACGGACATGAAAACTTCATCCCCCGCCTCACACCCGCCCTGGCGCAAGGCCAGCAGCCCCATCTCCGAGAGCCTAGGCCGAGCTTAGCTTCAGCCGAGTGGTTGGGTGGTCCATTGAGGGGAAAAACCGGGCACACCCAGTTTTCCGGTGGGTGTGCGAAGGACAAGACATGGTCGCAAAATTTCTGTGAGCCGTTTTTGGGTGCTGTCGAAAGGCCCAGCCGCATGTTGGAGCCAATCTTGCGCTGGAATATCGTGTGGCTCGCTGACCCATGGGGTCCTCAACTCCATGGGGCTGAAACCTACGCAAACTCACCTCAATTTGGCCTGGTGCCAACTTCAAACCAGGGTAAGTTTGGCTTACCATCCACAGATTCCACCGGCAAATGCCACATGAACCAAAGTGATGTACCAGTGGAATCCGTCTTGCTTCAACCAAACGGACCTTACCTTTCCATTTCCTTGAGGGCGAAGACGGAGTATTCCCCGTATTGCAATGGGCCTGCTCCCAGATCTTAGTTATCCAACCTATGGCCCTACCGACTTGATGCTGCTTCCCAGGTCCACGGCATCGATCGCTCCGCGGCATGTCCAAGAAATCGGAGCATCTCTCGGCCCAGTGGTGGCCATGCGCTCGCGGGCCAGGAACAAACGCGAAGTCACCTATGTTCAACCAACCTAGAAACCAGAAAGGACACCTGCGCATGAATATTCTCCTATACTAGTTGAGATGGGTGAAACCCTATGAAAGCTATTAGAAAGCTCAATGAACCACCTACCCACTGGTTGCCGGATCTCCATCCGCATGACTCGCGCCCCTCGGCCCATCCAAGGCCCCGGGCGGGCTCTCGTTGCTAAGGCGCTCTGCAAAGGTGAGGCACCCCTTGCGCAGCGTCTCCAGGCGCCGCGCTAACGCTGCAGCCTCGAACAAACAACGATGGCTCGGTGACTTGTCGGGTTTTCGGAAGCGGTCCACCCAAAATGGATGGGGGTTCAGCTATTTAGGTGCCCTTTTTTAGGGATGCCCTCTGTAGGGTAGGCTTTCTTTTCCTTCCCTTCGAAACCCTCTTTGGCACGTAGGAATCAAAAGGAACCCCAGCGGCTAACCTCTTGCTGAACCTCTATTCATTCATCTGGCCTGGCAGATGAAATCGGGGGGCTTCCCGCAAAATTGAAGAATGCCGAGAATCCGCAGAAACATGAGACAACCCGCCCCCCACAAGAGCTTGTTACCCAGACATCCAGTGGCCAAAGAAACAAAGGCACCTTTCTGGAACTTGTTTTAAGGGGAAGCCCCTTCAGAGAAACCTGAAAAAGAGAAGAACTTCCTGAGTGGATTGGCAAACAAAATTTGAGCTCTTTGATCAGAATGAACATGGCCTCCAAAACAGAAGACGACTAAGAAAAGACGCAAAACGACAATGATCTGCACAACAGGGATTTCCCGAACGCCGCGCCTGCGTCATATCCACCACGAGGTACAGGAAGCGGATGATGCCGCGTCGAGTGGGGACCTCCTGCGATGCGAGCGACGGAGGTGTGATTGGTCCTCAGCCTCTTCAGCTCAACACCTGTTTGCTCCTCAGTCAAAGCTTTGCGAGGCATGATTGGTGCTTCGGGTGATTCCTCTCGATCAAGAACCAGGGGTTCAAATCCCTATGCCAATCCAAACCACTCGAAGCTTATCTGACACAAGTCAAGAATTGCGAAGGTGTCCCAGCAAGAGCGTGGGAATTCTGGACCGGAGAACCTCCCTCGACTCTCAAGTCGGGTGTTGTCTTAGATCATTGCGCCCAAATCTCCCGCGAAAGGCGGCAAAAGACGGGATCCCAAACACCCGCTGTTGTGGAGAGAGGTTCCCAAGGATAGGGGGGTTCTTAAACGATACATTCAAAATCCACCTGCTTTAAAAGGAGATCCTGAGAATCAGCTCGCAAAGGTTGTTTTGTCTGGCCCAAATGTACGTGTTCAGGGACGCTGCAATTTGGTCTCGGTCTGGCTCGAAACATGGCTCGCTTCTTCTGGCACTCCCCCCTGGCACCTCCCAACTTCCGTTTGCCGACCCGTCCTCCGTTCCGGTCTCCGCCTTCGGCGCGGAACGTTCCGGCGCGGAAGCGGCGGAAGCGGCCGGTTCTGAAGGCTCCTGCGAGGCCAAAGCCTGGTCCCAAGGAATCGTGAATCTGAGTGAGGGCCTATGGAGACGATTCTCCTCTAGAAAGGGCCTGCAAGCGCCTTTATGGAGTCTCCATAGAAGACACCCAGCGGCTTCCAGAGGATATGTTTGCGTGGTTCTGATCCTGAGATACAGGATTTGCCTTGTTACTCTTGATAAAGGCACCTAAAGTGTAGATTTTTACAAAAGATGGGGTCCCTCAATTCCCACTTTCGTCCTAAGTTGCAGTTTCATTGGAACGTACCACTCACTTGCTGGGAATCCACCCCCTGAAAGACGGGGTCCCTTTTTGCGAAATGTTCGGCTCATCATGGCAGGCTTACCTTTATTTCCGGATGGGTCCATCCAAAAGGCCTTAGGCCTTGTAAGACCTTGTAAGAGTCTTTTTGCGCTAGGGGCGCTTGTTTTTTACTCAATGAGGGCGCTTGCTTTTACGCAACCAGAGGCGATTGTTCTACTAATAAATTGAAGTTTACTCTAGTAGTTGCTTCTTCGTTGTTGGATGACCCACTCGTAGTTTGTGTGTGTGTGTGCTTAACTTGTTTCAACACATTTCAATTTCTTGCTTAAAAAGTATTTTTGGTTGTAAGGGTACCAGGGTGTTGTTGAACATAAAATGCTCGGTGGTGTTTTTGGAGGGCGTGTCAGGTTGATTTCAAGGGAAACCAGCTGGATGCCATGCTTGGCCATGTTAGCCACCTGGAAAGGAGAAAAACCACAAGGCAGAACCCCAAACCGGGGGATGGGGATGGGGGGCGTGTTTTCTTTTCTTCAGTGTTTCAGCTTTGATTGAAGGTTCAGCAGTTGGTCATGTGTGTTGTTTTTGCCTTTCGGGGAGGAGGGGGGGAACGTGCCTGGTTGAATTGCTGGGTAATTCAAGTGGGTTAAGGACTCCATGGCAATTCACCGCATGTTGTGGAATGCTGAGTTTGCTTGCAGAGGGTCTCTAGTTTAGTGTCAAATTCATTTGGAATCTAGTTGAGTTCCCTCCAACTTTTAAAGCCAGGAGTTCCGGAGTTCCAGTCTTGAGGGTAAGCCTTTTGGGGCTTGGTTTACAAGGAAACCAGCAGGAAACCACTGGCAGCCCTTTGGTGCTTGGTTGAAGAGGGATCATTTTTGGAGACACGTGGTTGAACCCCAAATAGCCCAGGATTGCATTTCGGGGTTAGCAGTATTATGGTTTCATGGTTAGGAGAATTAAGGTTCGGGGTTGGGAGGGTTTGTGATAATTTCCGGGTTGAATGGGATCATTTGGCCATGGGTCAAAATCCCGAACCACCAGTGAACATCCAATCCCCACTAAAATAGACTAAACTGGGTGGTGCACCTACCCCAAAATGGTACTTTTGACCCACAGCCATTTTGGGGCCCCCGATTTTCAGACACCGACGTCGGTGTCCCTCGAGCCTCGCCTCCAGGAGCGCGTCCCAGCGCAGCAGCTCCAGGCTCCGCACCGTGCGCAGCTGCTCGCGATCCTCGTCAAAGCCGGGGACGGGGGTCGATTCCGCGTCAACGGGTCGGTGCTTTGGGCCTCAAAGGAAAACCCCAAATCCTCCTTAAAACAAGCAAATAGACGCAGGTGATATCTCCAAAAGTGTTCCGGAAGGCCTTGGAACGCTCTTTTTGAACCCTTCCTGAAAGCCCCAAGCTGCCCCATAAAGCAACTTATGTGTTGGTTTAAACATGTCCCAAATCACTTTTGTTTAAACCTTTTGGATTCCCTGCAAAGGGCTGGTCACACACATGACACTGCTCCTCAGATTCGGTTGGAGTGGGGACCATTCCCCTAAAGGTTCGCTTTTCTGTGAGGTGTGTAAGTGAAATGGGAGATACCCTTCGCGGGCAGTGGCTTCGGGGTCGTGGGAATCCCCTTGGAAAACTGGGGTTGACCTCCCTTTTCCAGCCACAAACAAATACAATTCTGGCGGAAAACGAGCAAAGCAAAGCCCTGTATCCCAAATGATGTCAAACCACCAGCATGCTCGTGAAATTCCGCTCCTGCGCTCTGGCATCCTGCTCCTCTGCAATGTCATCCACGTGCATGGCATCTTGGGCCATTTGACGCAGGCAGCTTGTAGAGATTTACTGAGTTGGCGCGTGCGGAGATATTTTCTCAAAGCTACGAGTTGTGCTGAGAGGGACAGGAAATAGATAACTGATGTCCGGTCGCCCTTTGCCTTACCAACCAAAAACATGGGTTTCTCCCCATGTAAATTTTGGAAGACTGTTCTCCTCCTGGGAAAAGACTGAACCATATGTGTTGATGGGAGGGCACTGCAAAGAGGTCAGAAATTGAAACCTGGTCCAAAACAACTGGTGTTTGAACTGCCATTGCACCTTGCAGACTAGTGTGGCAATTGCTCTAGCAGCTTCTTGAACGTCACATTATGTGTTTTCTTGAGTAGTGTGCTAGACTCCCCCTCAGCTAAGCTGGGCGAATGACAAGGTTGAAGGCTGCGGGTACCTGGCGGGTCGATCTTTTGCTGGGCATGGCGTGGCAGTTTTTGCTGGGATAGATGTGCCCTGTACGCTTGAACCAAAGCTCCACGTTGCCAGGAGCTGCATCAGAATCCCCCAGAAGCTCACCACCGACGGACCGAGCACGCACGGCATTAGACATGGCCCAAAGCTGCTGCCACCTCTCGGTCTCTCTGAAGAAACCGCACCAAACCGAAACCCCGACAGCGGCTTCGGCTCCCACTTTCGCGCCTTCCGAAGAGCGAAGCTGGTGTCCGGTCCAGATGTTGGTCTCGATCCCAATTGGAATGCCGCCACTTGCACTCCCAATTGGAATGAGCGCTCAGTTCCCCCCGCGGATACGCTGGGCCCGTAGGACAGGGTGTAGGGAGCCAAACCAGCTGTCTTCATGTCCCAATGTCGCCTCTTTGACCCCCCAGAATTCAAGTGTGACCTCTTTTTTTTGCCCCACCCAGCTTTCAACCCGGCTCCCAGCGATGATCGGCTTTTTCTGCGCGGGTTCCGCTCCAGGGTCGGCTGTCGGTAGTCGTACCTGCCGCTGGGTCAACCCTGAGCAAGGTGTCCACTCCTTTGTTTCCCAAGCGGGAAGTTGCATGGTCCTGCTGCCATGTCCTTACCGAACTCCTGGAAATTTGGACGGTGCACATTTTGAAGCGGACCTTTCACTTTGGGGAACAAGCCACCAGGTTGACTAACAAGGGATCGTCACCAAAAGGAGTTGAACCACACCAGAATGGCAATGCGCTTTGACTCCCACCCGAAAGCGTCAGAAGAAGCACCCCCCCAAGAAAAAATGGTCTTGTCCTTAGCAAACTCATAGCTCCTTAGCTCTCTTGAACTTCTGGCTTCCCTTTAAACCAACCTGAAAACGGTACCCTCCCCCAAACGATGCCATGGAAGCTCCCGGGACCCTTTTGGAAGGCTTGGTTCCATTTACGGGGACCAAAAAGCCCGCGCATTCATTCACTCCCGCCCTAAGGGGTATCTGTCAAAATCGGAGAACTCCCCCAAGAAAAACACGGCATGACTTCTGGCTTCCCTTTAAAAGAGGTACCCTCAACCAACATACATACATACATACATACATACATACATACATACATACATACATACATACATACATACATACATACATACATACATACATACATACATACATACATACATACATACATACATACATACATACATACATACATACATACATACATACATACATACATACATACATTTTACATTACATTACATACATACATACATACATACATACATACATACATACATACATACATACATACATACATACATACATACATACATACATACATACATTACATTACATTACATACATACATACATACATACATACATACATACATACATACATACATACATACATACATACATACATACATACATACATACATACATACATACATACATACATACATACATACATACATACATACATACATACATACATACATACATACATACATACATTACATTACATTACATTGCATTACATTACATTACATTACATTTCATTACATACATACATACATACATACATACATACATACATACATACATACATACATACATACATACATACATCACATACATACATACATACATACATACATACATACATACATACATACATACATTACATACATACATACATACATACATACATACATACATACATACATACATACATACATTACATACATACATACATACATACATACATACATACATACATACAGTACATACATACATACATACATACATACAGTACATACATACATACATACATACATACATACATACATACATACATACATACATACATACATACATACATTACATACAGTACATACATACATTACATACATACATACATACATACATACATACATACATACATACATTACATACATACATACATACATACATACATACATACATACATACATACATACATACATACATACATACATACATACATTACCCTACACTACACTCCCTAC